CACAATTTTATATATCTTTCTATACTTCAAGTTATTATAATATTAGTTACAACTTAGTATATAATTTATTATTTCAATGATAAATATTTATAATATTATTTTTATAACATATAATTGTTAATATTTATATTAAATATTGTGCACAAATCAAGAGTTTAAAACTCTCACTACAACTCAATAGTTTTTTTAATTTAAATGTAATTATAATTTCAAATTTATTGTAATTTTCCTTTATATTTTCCATTACATTTAAAAAAAATTTAAACTTATGGTTATTAATGTGCAATATTTTTTTATTTTCCACTTATTTATTACACACATTGTAGCTATATTAGTAGTATATAAGTAAGTTTTGATTAAAAAAAATTATATGTTTGAAAAGATTTGTGATTCAAAATGAAAGAGTTAAAAAAAATAAGTTTTGTCATATCAATGGTTATTTCAACACAGATTTTTTATAACAATGTTTCTATATATCAAATGTATGTTGATTTCTAAATATTCATTTTGAATGATTTGTAAGTGTTTAATAAGTTTTGTTTGATGTAAATGCTATAATGTTGTAGTGTTTTTATTTTATTAAAAGTTATAGTGTTTTTCATACTATTTGTTATTTGTTTTATATGCATACTAACATGCGTTTTATATAATTTCTACAATTTAAAACGTTCTATAAAATCATCAAAAGTTATAGTATTTATTTTTTTTCTTACTACTTTGTTTTTTTATACATAGGATTCAATATATGTTTGATATATAATTTATAAAACATAAAATAGTCTATAAAATCATGAATTGATAGGGGAAATAACTAATGATATATTTTTATTAAAATTAATAAAACTAATATGTTAACTATGGAGTTTGTTTTGATATTGAAATTGGTTTTACATGTGTAAATATTAAATCAGAATTTGTTAAATGTTATTATTGTAATTAAATAACTATATTCACGCGTAACGCGTGGGGATTCGACTAGTATACTTATAAAGGAAGCATTTTTCATTTCACTACATTCATTTGAAGCTCCTACTTTACAGTTTTAATTTTTGTCAAATATAGCATTCTATTTTAAAATTTTGCCAAACATGTAAATATATGAAATTGCTACCCTTTCTATTACAAGACATACTCTAGGCCCAAAAAAAGACTGTCTTATGTGACATTCAACAAAAATTACATTCTTAAGGGAAACGAAAGTTAAGAATTCTCTTCATTTTCTGGGAAGTATTTTTAGTTTCTCTTTTGTGAATTTTGAATCAATTATAAAGCTCATGTATTTGAAACTCCCAATACCATTTTTTCTTTTGTGAAAATATATTTTTTTGTATAAGAGAACAATATTCAACATGTATTTTATGTTATGTATATACTATGTTAGTTTCTATCGTTTATTTTGTAAATAACATCGATGGAGTTTTTATAATTGATTTTGATGAAAGGAGTTTATAATTTTTATTCCAAATTGTTGGTGATAATGAAGAATTAGAACAAATGATTTTTAATATGATATGACTTTATTGTTGAAAACAAATAATTATGTGTGTTATAAAAATGAATTCTTTATGTTGTACTAAAACTTATATGGATGTACCCAATTTTAAATGTTTTTATAATAATAAAAGTACATCATCTTATTACATTTCTCAGTTTTCTTTTTTCCTATTCATTCTTTATCGTAAAGGAAAAGTAAAATAAATAAAATATTAATATTTTCATAAGAAAATATAAGTGATCAAAATATACCTCAAGTCTAACACTCATCTTTCTATAACCCACTCTTAACATATTGTTTTTAAGATTGGTCGTAATACATAACAATTACTATAGTTTTGAAATTCAAATTACCATTTTATTTAGACCGTTCATTCTTTTTAAATATAATAATGAAAATTTTCAAATAATTAGTTTTTAATTAGTAAAAATTAATAATTATTTAAAATAACGTAAAACTAAAGAATAAACTATATTATATTAATAAATTATTGTTACTTGAAATAATAATAATAATAATAATAATAATAATAATAATAATTTAGGAAATAAAAAAGATTCAAATATATTAATTATAAATTTTTTAAAAATAAGTATAGTTTAAAATACTTTTAAATAAAAAACTTAATTCAATTTAATTCAAACACAATTTTTTATATCTTTCTTATCATATACTTTAAATTATTATAAAATTAGTTACAACTTAGTATAAAAATTATTATTTCAATGATAAATACTTATAATATTGTTTTTATAATATATAATTGTTAATATTTATATTACATTATTGGGCACAAATTAAAAAGTTTAAAACTCCCACTACAACTTAATAGTTTTTTTTATTTAAACGTAATTATGATTTCAAATTTAATATAATTTGCCTTTATATTTTCCACTACATTCAAAAGTTTTTTAAATTTATGGTTATTAATGTGCAATGTTTTTTTTTATTTTCCACATATTTATTATACACATTGTAGCTATATTCGTAGTATATAAGTAAATTTTGATTAAAAAATCACATCTTTGAAAAGATTTGTGCTTTTTTATTTTCATACTATATGTTATTTGTTTTATATACAAATCGACATACGTTTGATATATAATTTCCACAACTTAAAATGTTCTATAAATCAACAAAAGTTGTATTATTTATTTTTTTCATATTACTATGTTTTTATACATAGGAACCAATATATGTTTAATATATAATTACACAACATAAAACAGTCTATAAAATCATGAATTGATAGGGAAACTAATTAATGATATAAATTTATCAAAATTAATAAAACTAATTTGTTAGCTATATAGTTTGTTTTGCTATTGATATTGGTTTTACATGTATAAATATTAAATCGCAATTTGTTAAATTTTATTATTTTAATTAAATAATTATACTCACACGCAACACGTGGGGATTCAACTAATATACTTATAAAGGAAACATTTTTATTTCACTACATTCATTTGAAACTCCCATGTATTTTTCCTTTCACGACATTCATTTGAAACTCCCATGACTTTTTAATTTATTTCTAATAATAATTATAATTTAGTTAATTAGATTAAATAAATATCAAACCTAAAATGTAATCATATATAAACTAAATTTCAATATTAAAATAATATATTTACTTTTACTTATAAAGTTATATTTTTTAACTTTTAACATATTATACTTAATTTATTAGTTTTAGTATATTGTTGGATATAAACCATTATAATTATAAAGATATAATTTTGGAATAATTTGTATAAAATACTTAAATTATTAATTTAAATATAACATTACAGGGCCAACTTAAATATAAATTTTAGTTTAACTCAAACAACCTAAATAATATTTTGTAAATAGTTAAAACTGATGAATTGTATTGTCTTTCTAATAATGATCATAACTTGGTTAATAAAATTTAATGAATATTAAAACTAAAGAGTAATCATAAATAAACTAAATTTCAGTTTTAAAATAATATCCTACTTCTACTTATAAAGTTGTGTCTTTAATTTTTAACATATTATACTTAATTTATTAGATTTAATATGTTGTTGTATGTAAATCATTATCTGTTCAAATCTACAACTTTTGAATAGTTTGGACAAAATAAATAAATTGTTAATTTAAATATAACATTAGCATGTCAACTTAAATATAAATTTAAGCTCTACTTAAAAATCAAAGAATATTTTTTAAATAGTTGAAAGTGATAAATTATAGTAATAAATGCAAACACTAAATTATAATCTCAACTTAACTAAAAAATTTTCTAAAGATATTTTTATAATCGTTAAAAGTTTTCAAATAAGTACCTTAAAAATAACTTACATAAACAATAGTTAAAAATAGCTTTATATAAACGATTATTTTGGTATTGTTAAATTTTTAAAAAAAAATGTTTGATGTTTTAAATAATTTTAATGATAGAAATCAAAAACATTAAGCAAATAAATTTTAAAAAATTAATTAACAATAACAACAACTTTAAATAAAATTAAAGCATATATTATGTTTAGTTTATTCATGTGTAACTCACAGATATAAGTCATTTAAACAATTAAGAGTATGCAGTTATAATAGATGTATGTAATTCAAAATAATCAATATATTATGTCAATTTAGTATATAAATTATTATATCAAATTTAACTACAACGTTATTATTATATTAAAAAAAACATATATTTATAAAAACTTCAACTATATAGGTGTTTCTACGCAACGCGCAAATATTCACCTAGTTATTTATATTAATAAAGGAGGTACTTATATCACAACCCATAATTAAATGATAAGATCCTTCTTAATAAATAAAGATTTTTTTTCCACATGTCAATCTCTTATTAATTTTGACACTTATCATTTTGTGTTATTTTTGAAATAAATATTATCCACTTGTCAATTTTTGGTTTGTTTCAATTTTTAAAATTAAAGTCATATACTTATATATGTAAAGTATTAAATATGATATATATGAAATTAAATTGCAATAAATATGTATCTCCTTTATTTTAAAATTGCACATTAAAAAATATTTTATATTTACACTTTAATGTTTAATCTTTTTTTAAATCAACTCATGTAATATACGGTTTTCACGCCTATTATATATTAGAATAGAGTTAATTAGGATGTATATAAGAGCACCTATTTGAAAATCTTAATTTAATAATATTCATTAAATTAGGCATAAGAAAAAAAAGCATTTCTCCGGTTCTCCCTTGTAAACCATTGGCGAGTTTACACTTTTCAGTGGATTCGCTAAGAAACAAAATATGGAATAATGCGATTGGGTCCACGTAGGCCCCTGATTAACAACCATTAACCTCCGAAACATTAACAGGTGTCCGCCGGAATCTATGTTTACACCGTCCCAGCAAGTAGCAACCCGGTCATCATCAATATACATCCCATCTGGGCATAAAAAATCGACCACTGATTCAGACCTTTTAATTAAAAAAGGTTTTTACAAACAACAGAATCAATTAATCAAACAAACAAAAGTAGAACTCCCAATCAAGCCATCAGTAATTTGAAAGTCGATGCCGAATACAATGGGCTAACCCCACCAACTCCACCAGTCACCATCGTAGATTTTCCCAACCTCTCCCTATAAACATTTTGCAAATCGAGTCTTTCGCTTCTTGTAATACAGCCATGACTGACAAGAGAAAACATCCGGAGGTGAGCACAATTCCGACGACGCCTTTGGAGTTCAAAGTTCTGTCATCTACAGGAATAATAAAGTGTGATATGGGTCAGGGTCGGATCGGACTTGGTATACTTGCCGCCCTTGAAAATATTCCGGCCAAGAAGTCCAATTTCAGATGCCGGAACCCAATGGGATATGAAGCGGGTAATTTGGAAGAAGAGAATACAATAGCTACTCTTCGTAAACCAGACAAATCGTATACAAAAGCTCACATTGAAATCAGAGAACAACCCTCCATTTTTGACATATCACCTGCAAGGTTTGGGGACGATGGTATGAAGATGCGTACGCCTTCTGAATTTCTGAGTTCATGTCATTTATGCAACAAAAGACTCAACGGCAGAGACATATACATGTACAGGTAAAACCAAATCCTCTGGTTTTGTTTTCCACAGTTCCCAATAGCATCATGATGATGATGATGATGATATTGATTGTTTTTGAAACAGGGGAGAGAAAGCTTTTTGTAGCCCAGAATGTAGGAGCAGACAAATAGGGATGGATGAAAGACGAGAGAAACACTGTAGCTCACATGCATCTTCGACTCCTTCAAATGCCACAAGCCCTCACGTGTTGTTTGCTACCGGAATTTTTGCAATTTAGTCAAACATTCGATTCATATTTACCAAATATATGTAAAAATTTGGTACATCACCATTCACCAATCACCATGTTGAGGATTTCTGAAACTAAATCTAATTCCATTGTTTAGATAAGAAAAACCCACAAAACTAATGTTACATGTATCCATCCATTATCCATATACATCCTCCAGAGGTTATACAACAAATGCAAAAACACGAATCCCAATCATTAATCTAATAAAATCTCTTAAACCAATAAAAACAAAAAACAGAGCATCGTCCTATCTGATCTTTGTGTTATTACTGATAATACATAGGGGCCTGTGTAGCACCAATTCCTGGGTAACCACCATCATACACTGCACCATTGCTAGCACCACCACCCATCTGCATCAGACCCGCCATTTTACCAATAGTCATTTGCCTTTCATATGATGTAACGTTCATCATATTTCCGGCCACCATTGGTGGTGGCAGAGGAGTGGAGCTGCTTCCTGGTGGCGTGGGTTTGCTACCCCATGAACACTGTGTCTCACAGAAAGATGAAATCAGATCTCATATAAATTCCCATCGAGATGGGGGTATTATGGTAATTTCAGAAAAAACAAACATATATACATACCTTAAGTGGCTTGCCATAGAGATATCGGGCGTTTCCTAATTGAATAGCACGAGCTGCTTCAGCGTGTGAAGTGTATCTTATGAAACCAAAACCTTTGTCTCGTTGAATTCTGACATCTTCAATAACACCAGCACCAAGAGCGTGGAAATGACAATGGAGATCACCTGACGTAACCTAAAGTAAAAGAAAAAGAGTAGATTACATTTTTGGTCCTTCAATATAGCTGATTTTTGCAATTTCAGTCCCAAAAAGGTTTCTCCTTGCAATCTTAGGCTTCTTGTAACTATTTTGATTCATGCATTCATTTCCATCTATAAAATGAAAAACAACTGCCAACCTCTGGAGCCAGATTGCCAACATAAACAGTTGTGTACTGAGGATTATTTTCTGGAGCATCTTCATTGGTCTTTTCTTGACCATCATCTGCACATTAAACAAAATGTTAGAATGGATATAATCATAATCATATAACAATATGATAAATTGATAACATAAAAATCTTGAAATTTTGTGTATGAATTTTCACCTGATGTTCCATTTGTCAACTCAACAACACTTTTGGTATCTGACCTCTGTTTGTCATCCGATCCACCACCTTTTGCTGCCCAGTTGCATCGAATTTGCCTACTTCCAAGCCACTTTCCTACAAAAAAACATTAAATGATACAAAAAAAAATGTTACAAAATAGTTAATACTTTTAATAAAAGAGGTTTACATGAATGAAGTAAGCCAACAGTACACTTTTAAAATCCTCACCATTCAAATCATTGATTGCAGTCTGGGCATCCTGTCAAAGATAAATGGGAATAAAGGATAGTTAGCACGTTTAAAGTGACATAAGGGTGAGGGGTAATATAGTAATTTAACTTACCTGTTGGTTACGAAATGAAACGAATCCAAATCCCCTGGATCGCCCCGTTTTCTGATCCCACATAACCCTTGCATCACTTACCAACATAAAAAGAGAAAATAAAAAATATTTTTTATCACGTTTTGATTTCAGTTTAATAAAAAAGAAACTTGGGCTTACGAGCATGTCGTGTACACAGAGAAGCAAGAAAACAATGTGGCATCAGTAACTTCAGGACTAAGGTCACCAACAAATATGTTAAAGTGACCTGAAAAACCAACAAAAAAAATGAAAAATCTCATTATGAACAAAATTAATTTGCAGATTAACATTATATTAATTGTTAACAACAAACCTGATGTATCTTCTCTCTGGCTACTTGCGTATGCCCAATTAACTTTAATAGGCTGCCCAAACCTGCAAACATATGTTATCATAATCAATTCATAATGATTGATGATTCAAGACGAGATTTGTTGATGTTTCTACTTACAGATGCCTTCCATTAAGTGTCACAATAGCAAGAGCAGCAAAACGCCGATCAAAGTAATCAACAAACCCATATGATGACTGAAATCCAAGTAAATGAGTTTTATAAACGATTAAACAATTGGAAAATTGATGAATCGATCATACATTCTCTTTTCTAATGAGCTTGCATCCTTCAAGAGCACCAGTGCTTGAAAAAATTTCTTGAAGTAGGGGTTCTGTGACCTGTGGGTGGATGTTCCCCACATACCTAGATAATTATAAATGTCAATATCAAATTGGAATGATCATTGACATTTGACATAAAATGAGAATCGAAAAGGGGAAAAATGAGAGAAACTCACACACTGCGACATGTAGCTGAATCAAAACCAGGAGGTAAATTTCCACTCAAGATAGGCTCTATCTGCAGATACCGTAAATTATTTGTTGATTGATAGTGATTGGTGAACCAATTATATCTGATGTTTAATACAAGTAAATTATGTTTTTAACTTTTTGTGTTTTTGTATAAAGTGCGTAGTCTTTTTTTTTTTAATAAACAAGTCGATTCTATTCACAAGAACTTCAAATGAAACTGTACTGATTCAGGTTCAAACAGCTAGCTAGCATACTAAATGTATCAAATTATGATATTTTCACAGCTGTGATGCAAGTTTCGCAAAAGGGAAAATATCAGGAATAAAGTTTTCTTATGTGTTCATGTGACTGGACCTTTTTCATCGGAACAAGAATCCGACCGATGACTGTAGATTCGACACCCAGAAGGAATTAGGAAAGGCAACACCTTTTGAGACGTAAACTGAAATTAGAAGAGAAGAAAACAAGAAAGATGAAGTGAAATTACCTGGGGATGGGCTAAGAGACCTGGGTGATAGAGGGATTGCTGCATCAGTGCTTGTTGTTGTCTTATCCTCTGATGCTGCTGCTGCTGCTGCTGCATCATCTTCTGATTGAAATAGATATAGTGTGTATATGTAGGAGATAGAGAATGAAGTTAGGGTTTTGTTTCACCAAGAAACAAGAGAAAGTGAAGGAAAAAAAATTAGAAAGAAAAAAAAAAAGGAAAAAAAGAAAGAAAAGAAAAAGAAAAGCCTGGAGACAAAGAGTAGAAGAAGATGGTGAAATAAAAGGAAAGGGAGATGGTGGTTATTATGTCTGTCAGATCTTCCATTCTGCATACGTATTCGTGGATTATTTTTGCGTCCCATTGTTTCTCCACCGTTGGATTACTCTTTCCATTTGATTGCTCTTTGTTCAAACACAACAAAACCTTTATTTTATATTCTTGAAGATTTTAGAATAAGTTGTTCGTATATTTTAGAAAATTCACAGATTTAGTCTCTAAATTTTTTTATATGAATGGTCCTGAAAGTTTAAGTTCGTGATTGTTTTTGATTTTTATACCATTTTATATATTTTTTTTAATTACAATTTAAATTAATCTTTATATTGCTATTATTAAATTAGAAATAAGTCAATAACCCCATCATAACCACCCCTCTCTTTTCCTATCCTTTCTTACACCGTCCACCACAACCACTATAGTAAAAAACCACATGTCACCACTACTCTTCTTATTGCTTTTAGAATATAATGAACTCAAAACCCAAAAATTAAGGATATGAAACTAGATATTATGAAACAATCCTTAAACAAATTTGATGCAATTAACTCTTTAATGTTATAAAATATGACAAAATAACAACATAAATTATTGAGTAAAGAATGATAGGAGAGTGAAGAGAGTTTTTATGCCAATATTTATGATGAAATCATCTTTTTAATAGATATGACTTATTATTTATACAATCAAAATAAGATGAAATATAAATATTCATTATTGCACTCATAAAATACATTGAAATTGTTGTTATTAATGCTAAATAATGATATAGAATTATGAGAGAAATAAGGAATCCAATGGTCATTTACAAACTAATATTTCATAACACTTCCCTTTGAATGACGATTGTATCATGCATCGTTAAAACCTTAATATATAAAACCTCATGGGAAAAAATCATTTATTAAGGAAAAATAGTACGTGATTAATAATAGATAATGATCATTTTATAGCTCTCTTTCAATAGAAATATACTTAAATAATTGAACCATATACGGCTAAATTGTTTTAATCCATACAAAAAAAAAAATTACCGAATATACTTCACGCGAATTAGGAGTTTGTGCTTCTGGCACTTTAAACCCTTTTGGGATTTTCATATTAATATAATTCTCAAATGAACCATATAAATAGGCGGTAACTACATTCATCAGACGCATATCTAGTTTTTCATGTGTTACCAGACTTATAAGATAACGGAATGTAATTGCATCAACAACAGGAGAGTATGTTTCTTCATAATCAATTTCGGGCCTTTAGGGAAAACCTTATGTAACAAGTCTTGCTTTATATCTCAAAACTTCATTTTTTTATCATTTCTTTTGCATACAAATACTCATTTATGTCCCACTAGTCTTACTCTGTTTGGTGTACGGATTACAAAGTCCAAAACAATTTCATTAAGTAATAGAATTAAGCTCTTTGTTGATTGCATCTTTCCATTTTGGCCAATCTTTTTCTATTTCTACATTCTTCTATAGATTTAGGTTCAAGATCCTCATTTTCTTACATAATATTGTGCGTAACATGATATAGAAAATTATCGTTGATGTTTATCTTATTTCGGTTCCATCTTGTTCCTGTCATGACATAATTTATTGAGATCTCTTCATTTTCATAATTTTCAGGTACCCCAGTTTCTTTTGTCATATCACTGGGCTCTTCTAGAGCTTCATTAATCTTTTCAAAAGATTATGTTTTCTCTTTTGGATCATCAATTATATCTGCTCCATTTCATTTTCGAGGTTTTTTATCATTGGAACTGGCTAGTCTTTAACACTTTATGCATGCCTACGATTCATTTGCAGTTGTATTTTGTCCTTTTAAGATATCAATTATAAAATAGAGTATTTATAGCTGGTACGTGAGACTTTGTTACTCTCTTAGGGTCAGTAAATGTTTCTGACAATTGATTTGCTACATTTTGTAAATGAATTATTATTATTTTTCACTTCAAGTTCACATTGACTTGAATGAGGATCTAAAACTACAAGTGATAATTCACTCCAAGAGATTTTATTCTCCATCTTCTTTATTTCTCCCACTAATGTTGGAAAGACCAATTCATCAAATAACAATCATTAAATCCATTTGTAAACAAAAATCTAGTTGATGGTTCTAAATCTTTTATGATAGATGGAGATTCATATCCAATATAAATTTCCATTCTTCTTTGAGGACCCATTTTTCGCGATGTGGTGGAGAAATTGGTGCATAAATTGCACATCCAAATGTCCTTGGATGAGAAATATTTGGTTCTTCACAGCAAACAAGTTGAATAAGGGAGAACTTATGATAGCTTATTGGTATGATGCGTATGAGTGATGTTGCATGTAAAACAGGGACGGGGCTTGTATAGGGCCAAGAAGGGTTGTGGACATCCCTATTTTTTTTTTCATAACTATCAAAAGTTTTACATATTGTGGCTAAACTACAAAGTTTAACTTCCCCCCCCCCCCCCCCCCCAATCAACACTTCAATCTCCGTCACTGATGTAACACCTCATGTCGATGTAGGAAGTTTAGAATGCATTAGTATTATTCTTGCAATTAATTGAAGATGTTTGGTTAACGACTCAGATAGACCATTTTTTGTATGAACATGTGCAACATGATGTTTAATAGTTATCCCAATCGACATACAGTAGTCATTAAAAGCATAAGATGAAAATTCTCCAACATTGTCAAGTCGAAATTTCTTAATTGGGTAATCGGGAAAATGTATCATTAGGTGGATTATTTGTGCAAGTAATCTTGCAAAAGGCAGATTATGACTAGACAACAAACACATGTGTGACCATATAGTTGATGCGTCAATTAAAATCATAAAATATCTAAATGGTCCACATGGTGGATGAATTCGTCCATATATATCCCCTTGAATTCTTTCTAAGAAACTGGAAATCAATTTTCCTTGAGAGTATGCAGCACAAGAAAATTCATTAGTTTGGAAAATCTTCTGGTTTTTCAATGAATGACCACTTGAAGTTTCAATTATTCTACACATCATAATTGTTCTGGGATGGCCCAACTGATCATGTCAAACTTTGAAGGTGTTATCATACCTTTTATTTTCAATAACATTAGGTCCAATCATTCTAATATTTGTATAATACAATCCGAAGGACAATACGGGTAATTTTTCTAAAAAGACTTTTCTTACCCGATATCATTTTGGTAATATTGAGATATTCTTTATTACCATCATTAGTTGTTTCAACATGATATCCATTAGACCAAATATCCATAAAACTTAATAAATTTCTTGGTGATTTTGATGAAAATAATGCATCACCAATTGTAATTATTGTCCCTTGTGGTAATACCATGTTCACTCTTACAGAGCCTTCAATCATTTTTTCATGACACATTATTGTATTAACATTTGCTTCTCTAATTGAAAATGCTATGTGTTCTTACACTGTCTGCAAGATATATATTTTTCTCATTTCTTTTGTTGCGAATATCCATATTTCTCTTCAATAAATAAATAAAACATAAGAAACATTTGACTTAGAGAAATAAAGTCATACTTTATTGCTTTGAGAAGATTATGATGACATCATTTCTCATGAAATGAATATGACATAAAAGCATAATAAATTACATGAAACAAAACTACACATTATTCTTCCATCACCATCCATGGCTCCATTTGTCCCTTCTGGGTAGATAAGAAAATCAACAACATCCAAATGTGTCATTTATGGTCAATCTTCGTAAAAATCATTTTGAATAAAATTTGTTTTGATATTTTCTTTCTCTTTAGATTTTAGAGAAGCTTTATAAGGATTAACAAAATGCTTTGGAGAGCAACATTTACAAGACCAATGATCGGTCATTCCACATCGGTGACAAATATCTTTAACTTTCTTTTTACATTTATCACTTTTATCATTAGGATGTGGGTTTTTGTTATTTTCTAACTTCTTGTGGTTACTTGCAATCTTGTTATTGTTGTTGCAATAGTAATGACAACCTCCACGACCACAGTTAGACCCATGACTATTATGATTATAAGATGGTATGTTAAGGAATTGTTAATTAAGAAATTTCCTAAAATACGTTGTAAGCATTATACATGTGAACTTATAAAAAATACATACTTAAAAATGACAAGAGTAATAACAAGTTGGAGCTCTATGGTAGAGTATTGTTGATAACGTGTTATAAAATATGACCAAATAACAAGATAAGTTATAGAGTAAAAAAGATATGAGAGTGAAGAGAACTTTCCAATATTTGTGATGAAATCATCAACGTTCTAATAGATATGACTCATTATTTATAAAACCAAAATAAGATGAAAGATGAATGTCCATCATTATGGTGCATTATTACACTAATAAAACACATTGAAATGGTTCTTACTAATCTTCCTATACTAATAAAAAAATAGTTATTAGTATCACTTGTCATTTTCTCATAATTTATGTTTTTTTAAATGATCTATAAAAATAACACTTGTCATTTTCTCATTATTTTTTATTTTTTAAAAAGTATTGATGTTGATAACAAATTAGGCAATTATTTATTTGATCCTTGATTTTTAGGAAAAATTTAAATTTGTCTTGAATAAGTTTCAGTTATGATTGTCGATAATTAATTGTATTTCTATGTTGAAAATCCTACAAAATCATGTTTAAGTAATAATTTATTGAAAATAATTGACTAACAATTATGAGTTTTTACCATAAAAAATTAATTTTTTGTAATTGTGGTTCTCATGGGCTATAAGCTAGTGCTAAATAATGATAGAGAGTTATGAGAGAAATGGAAAATCCAGTGGTCATTCAAAAACTAATATTGTTGGATTATGTGTCTAAATCTATAACTATAATTGGTATGTACTTGATCTGATAGTAGCATGGTCCTTTTGGGTTTCCTTCACCATAACAACACGACGTGATGACTTTTGGAGAAAGATGTGACATCCCCAATTTCT